TAATGTTACTACTACATTTACACACTTATGTACAATCTATAAGTTCCATTTTATTTCCAAGGTTAAGAGAAAACTCGTGGGACCTTTTAATCAAAATTATTCGAAGAACTATTTGCGTACGGGGGAAAAATCAACACCAATTTGTTCCTTATATGATATTAGTTCAAATAATGTTAAATATTTATACGGGGGAAAAAAAAAATAAAAAATAAAAAGGGAATAGTTATAGTTTGACGATCGAAACGTTTAGTACACGTTTAATAATGTATTATCAATTTTCTTTTTCTTTTTTTTTTTACCTGTAACAAATTCTTTTACGTAGGTATGTAAAACAATTGTGTGTGTGTGGTTTTTTTCTCTTCTACAATATCAATCGAAAATTATTTATTGTCTGTAATAATCACGTGAAATTGCAAAAGCGTAAAAAAAAAAAGAAAGAAATAATTAATTGATGCATTTATCGAAAATATGATTTTGATAACAAATGAAAGTTTATCGAATGGAAAATATCATCATGTTCGGATTGAATTGAAAAGTTTGTTAAACAAACAAGTGAGATTTCCAATACCAATGAACAAATTTGTTATGAACATTTTTATTGAAATCAATTTTCTATTATTTTGTTACATACCCTGGAAACATGATTTTGATTGGTAGTGTATATTACTTTAGATTGAAAATTTTTGGTCTAACGTAGAAACCATAAACCATTCTTTTGTTGTTGTTGTTGTTGTTGTTGATCAAACTAACTAGTATTTTTCGATTTACATTTGAAACTTTACAAACCACGTTTGTAATAAAAAAATTCCTGAATCGTTATTAATAATTATTTCAAAATAATTCATAAATGTATGTATGTATGTAATTTTGGGACGTTGTAGGACTGATCACCTTAACCATGAAGATCTTTCGATCAAGAAACGTAACTTAGGCAATTCTACGATGATCGTAGCCACTTACGAAGTCTGATCTTTCAAGACCGTAAACCAAAAATTCATTTGTTTTTTTTTTTATGTATGTATGTATTATTAAGTAAGTATAAGTATACTTATTGTTAATTACTTTAACAGTTTGTACGTAAGAACGCGTTTAAAACGTATCCCTTTTACCGAGAAATCTGACTAAGCATTTTCAAGTTGTATACTAACACTTGTTGCTATTGGCTTATACAGTTTAGATAGTATTTCTCTATTTACTTGTTAACATTCACACATACATAATAAGATATTAAATACATACATGCATGAAACATATTATAATAAATATATATGCTTGTAAGAATCAAATCATTTCACAGGTTAAATACGTCTGATATTAAACTTCAATTAGTGGTCATACCTACACACTTGCATATTTTATTATATAGAAATGTTCTATAAGAAGTGATTTCATTTGTTATTAATTTAATATTAACATTTTATCGACCAGTAGCGGTTTGAGAATCCTAGGCCCTTCTCACTGGCCACTCAGCCTCAGATCGTCCGAGACACCGGCTCGGTTTCGAGTTTTCGGAAAGGGCGAAAGTGGAAAGGGCGTTGGGAGCGTGTTATTCAATCAAATGGAGACTACTTTAAGGGATGTCATAAGTCAGACGACGAAGAGTAACTTCGACGGAGAAATATGGAGGTGTGTCGGATACTTTTGGGACTGACCTCGTATGCGCTTTTCTTATGCTTTGGTAAAATGGTACGTTTTGTGTTATTATAGGATAAACAAATTGAATAAAATCTTTTATTTGAATGATATTAGTGTTAAACAATATTTATCTGTAAGCACTGCTAACAAAAAGTCGATTAATCGACTATCGGTCTCAATAAAGTGTTAATACATTTTCTTTTTATTTCTTATTAATTATCAATTTTGCCAACATTTGTGTCAGTTTTTTTTTTTTTTTTACATACTTTGACTTAACGTGTTACACAACCCATTTAATGATTTCGAATTTAAGGGAAAACTCTTCTTTTGTGTTAGTTGAACGTTAATGAGAAAACTTTCTTTGACAAACACAATTTTCAAATTGCCACACATACATAACGATCATAGAAAATATCCCTGGAGGAGGGGGATCCTCCTCTTCCCTCTCTCTCTCTCTCTCTCCTCTCTCTTTTTCATCCCCCTTACACACTCTCTTTCTCTCTCTTTGCTTGATCGTCTATGTTTTCCTAACCTCTTCTCACTACCTCTCTCTATCCTTCATTTAGTAATTTAATAACTCTTAACGAGACTGCCTACGTGACGTCGTTAAGAGTTGACAAATATATCCAACACACGCGTATATTAACCTGTGTCTACGTGTGTGTACAACGTTTTTGCCTATTTTTTATTATTTTTCTTGTTCTGTTGTCTAACATTTCAAACACACCTACAACCTTTTATTTCTTTTTTTACTTTTTGTTTTTCTATCCATTTGCGTGTTTTGACATCCAATGTTTCTCTTAACATTTTGCCGAATAACATTTCACCTTTATTCCGACAGGTATCAATTTTTTACTCCGATTATTTTGTCAATTTTGTTAGGTTATTACTAGTGTCACCATTTTCGAGGAATCATGCACATAGATAAACTATTATACACGTTTTTTTTTTTTTGATAAGATCAATTTAAAATATTCATTTAATGAAATTCTTGCTCGGAATTTAGGTATTAACGGCCACTGTAGCAAAAATTGCGCTAATGCGTTAATAAAGAGCAATCTTGTTGTTTGCACACAGCAACCGTCAGGGTTGTGTCAGGGTTTCGTCAGGGTTTCGTCAGGGTTTTTATTCTATGATTTGTCGTAATAATTTAAGGTATAGATTGGCGCATTAGCGGAATTTTGCTGCGGTTGCGTTAATACCTAACTACCCCTTGCTCATTTAAAATACTTTATGGTAGTCATCTAATTGGTTTGAAATGATACAAAGAAAAAAAAAAAAATATAATGATTACAGAAATAGTTGGATCACGGAGTTGGTGCCAAAACGTACCATTACCATCGTACCATTTCCATCTAATACTAGTATATCGTTAACGATTTTCATTTACACCGTTTATATACTATGTCGATAAATTAATTGATTAATTGATGTGATATTAAAACGAACGACGATATTTATATATATTATTATTATTATTATTATAATCACAATTAATTTGTTGTAATTAATTAGAGTAATAATTCATATGCATTTTGATAATTGCTTGAAATAAAAAGAAATTTATAAAAATGTTCCCAGGTAATCCTAATCATCGGTCATTTATTGTTACACCATTGGCATGTACTATATTACGATAGTCGTGATATTCGATAACGTGGCTTTCGTCCGATAAAAAATGTAGGTACTTTTATGGAATCCGTCGGGCTTTGTCTTCGATTATAGGGGAAAAGGTGGATGGACGGATGGAGCCTCCGGTGATTTAACGTTTAATTTATTTACCACGACAGAGAGCGAAAGGTAAACCAATATCGCAAGAGAAAGAGAGAAAGAGAGAGAAAAGAGGGGAGAAGCATATTATACAATCTACGTATTTATTTATGTGTGTGTATGTGTGTATGTGTATATACCTATACGAATGAATTCTACACGTGTGATTGTTCATCACGTTACCTTTTTACCTTTGAATATTGACTAAAAATATGTCCATTGTCGTGATGAAAATGAACAGGACGATGAACAAAAAAAAAAAAATAATAATAATAATAGAGAGAAAATGAAATTAATTTTAATAATATTCTCCAAAAAAAAAAGTGGCAGCAATTGCGTAATACTCCCTGCCGATAACGTTTTTGTACTTATCTTATTTTTTTGTTTTTTTTTTTTTGTTATCTTGTCACGCTTTTTAGAATTTACCTGTCGGTTTAAATGATTGCGAAACATTTTCGTCGTTCATTTTAATATTTCAAGTTGAAACGCGTGTGTCAGTATTAAATTATATATATATATATATATATATTTTTTTTTTTTTTCATTTTTTTTTTTTTCAAGAAGCGTTAGAAAGAGGAGAATTTTAAAAAGAGAGGGTGGGAAAAAAAAGAAGGAAAGAAGGAAGAAAGGTGGAATATTTGAAGCAGAGAAAAATGTCTTTTAGTATCTCGAATTTTTTTTCTCTCTCTCTCTCTCTCTTTCTCTCTATTTCTTTCTCTTTCTTTCATTTATTCTTTCGTTGCTCATTAGCACGTACATTTCCATGTTAACGTGCGAACACTGTTTCTCGGTTTCGTGGTAAGTCTCGTTCGCGTGTTTAGTTGACATTAGAAATTTCCGACATTTCTCGGAATAGTGCGAAATGCTCACATACCGGTGAGATACTATAGTTTTATTTAAAACCCTTATAGAGATATTGTCGAGCAGTAGTGTCATGATGGTGACACGCGACGAATTATAAACAACACGCATAGAAACAACGATGACGACGACGACGACGACGACTACTACTACTACTACTCTTCCTCCAGTCTCGTTTTTCCCCCTTTCGTTTCTACCCTTTTTTTCCTACCCCTTCGTTTGTTCGTTTGTTCTTTCCATTAGCTATCTTGTTTTCTTGTTTTTTATTTTTTTTTTTATTTTCTTTATTCCCTTCTTTTTTTTTTCCAATATCATCAACACTTCAATTCATTCATTGCTACCCCAATCCCCAAATCACTTGTGAACAATAAGAGTCAGTTGTTACGTTTGATTCATCAAACAAATAATTGAAACGTAAATAGATCATTTCTTCAATACAATGAATAATTAATTAACGAACAGTTCAGGTAGCGAATATTACAATTTACGTCTAATGATGTAACATCGAAAATGAAAAAAAAAAAAATAAAAAAACAACAAGATAAATTGTAACTAAAAAGAAGATGATAATAATATTCGAACACGTTTAGGTTTCCCAATTAATTTCAATCTTGAAAGTTGTAATTGTAAATATTCAGTATCTCTGAATTTAATGATCTCAAACTTGAGTTAGATCAATGTGTGTGTGTGTATATAATGTTCAAAGTATCGAACTTTAATTAAAGTGGACTCACAGTTTTGAAAAACATGCAGTGAAGCATATCTTCATCTTCACCCCCTGGACAGTCCAAGAAGCCGTCGCATAGTACATGGTCATCGATACAACGATATCTACCCATCCTGTCCGGCTTCGGACATGCAAACCTCTCCATCCCTTCCTCCGAGGCTGGACACTCTGTAACAGTAACATGGACAATGATAATACACCCTCTATCAAACTCTCTTGTTTTATCTTTTTGAAACATTCACTTTTATCTAATAAATCGTTATCAAAGGGTTTACTATTTTTTGTTTTTGTTTCTATCAATTTGACGAGATAATACAAAAAATAATCTGAAATAATACAAGAGGAAGATAAAACCGAAAAATCGATCAGACCTTCTCTCTCTCTCTTTCTCTCTCTCTCTCTCTCTCTCATTTACTCTTTTATTATTTTCTTTTCATTTTAGAAAAAAAAAAAAAAAACGACGAATGAGAAATCCGTATATGAAAGTTTCTGACGTTTAATATTTTTCTTATCGAAGATATTTCTTTTTTTCTATTTTTTTTTTTTTACAAGAACAAAATTCAAAAGCAACATTTATATTTAAAAATTGTTTAGAAACTTTGCCAGTAATAATAATAATCTAATATAATATTTCTTGACCATAAATTTGTTCTTAAAACGTGTAACATACACTTAGATTGTTTTGTTTGGAGAATAGCGTGCAAATGTTGTACAAAAGTAAAACGGAATCTTGACGTTGGTAAATAGAAGATCACTGTTTGTCTGCCAGTAGACTATCAAACTACAACTAATCGCATTTCACATAATCCAATCACGCCGACTGCAATATGCTGTCCGGGGTTACAGTATTAAACCGTTCTACACAATTTTGACCTCTCTCTCTCTCTCTCTCTCTCTCTCTCTCTATTCATTCATCTATTTATCTATGAAACCCTCTGTCTCTGTCTGTCTCTGTCTCTACGTCTTTCTCTTTAGATTAGAAACGGTGCGGGTGGTCTTCACAATCAGATCATGTAGGTACTCTCTATGAGTCTACTGTATTCTCGGTTAAGAAACTAAGCTTGATATGCTTGTAGATATATATATATCAAGTTGAATCGAATCTGATGTAATATACGTGCAAACACACACCTATATTTATGTATAGAAAGTTCTATGTGTGAATATGTGGATGTGTATAGAAAGATAACATTATGTTGAAAAAGTAAATAAAGGTTCGAGAAGGATTTTCCCTTTTATGTGTACTATCTATTCCATAAAAATTCCCCTAAACGTATCAGTAATTTGATGCTTTTCTTTCATTTCTATTTATGTTTTTTATCCTAAATAAAATAAAATAAAACTAATTACACAACGAGAGAGTTTGTTCAAATTCTATTTACGGTTAACTAATCGCATTAATAAATGTGAACTGTAAATCTTATTATCTGTAATTATATGTATGTGTAGGTATGTTAATTAATAATCGAATACATTAACGCAATATGCTAATTCAAGTAAAACGCTTACGTGTATATGTTTATATGCGTGTACCTGTTAACGATTTGTCACTTGATTATCATCGTTCTATCTTCCTCTTTGACCAATTAGGGTTTTCAAGGGTTATCTTTCATTATGCGGTATCATCTAAGGTTTATATTTTATTAAAGTCACATACACAAGGCTAATTTATGTATGTCGAGTAGGTAATATCGAAGTTTTTGTTAAAGTTCAGTTAGGCAAGTATGTCATGCGATCGTAAGTTAATTTACAATTAGACATATTTACTGTGAAGAATGAACGACGACATTTAAAAGACATTTGTTCATTTAATTTTCAACGTTTCTCATGAATATTTTCTCTCCTTTTTATGATCTTGTAAGATGTCATAAAAGTATCCAGGGGAACGATTTTAAAAAGGTCAACTTGTTGACGAGGACAAATCAATTGTAATATTACATTTGAAATATATGAAGAAAAATTTACCAATTTGCGGCACGTCGTAAGGTCTGCTCGCCCTGATAGACCTCACCAATTGGGTGTTTACACTTGCTCCTCCGGAAGTAAAGGGAGATGTATGGGGTGCCAGGGCTTGCTGAGAGACAGAAGATTCCTCTGGCAAATTGACCGATCGACGTCCGATGCTTATCCAATTCTTTTTTTTGGAAGGATCGTTAATCTCGTATATAAAAGGTTTCAAGGGGGTGAATCCACCGGCGTTGAAAAATTCCCGCGAAGAGGATAAAGCAGATGAAGAAGATGATGATGATGACGAAGAAGAAGAAGAAGAAGATGAAGATGATGAAGAAGAAGAAGAAGAAGGTGGCATAGAGGGTGAAGAGATAGAAGATGAAGATGATGGTGATTGCTTGGAGACACGCTCTAAAATCGGTTCAGTCTTCAATTTAATCGGCAAGTTAAGTCTCTGTTCGTAGACATCCTCTTGTTCGGATTGTCTTCCATTTGGAAGGATCTTCTCGCCATTGTAATAAATCGAAATAGGTAGTTCGAGCGCTTGGCTCTCAATTTGCTGTTGCTGCTCCTGCTGCTGCTGCTGTTGCTGCTGCTGATGATGTTGCTTATTGTTGTTGTAATCGATTATCCGTCTCTTCTTGTTTCGTTGCAACTGACGTCGCTGCCTAAGCCGTTGTTGTAATTGTTCGTGATGGTAATGATGCTGACGTTGAAGATGTTGATGTTGACGTGGAAAGCTATGTTGTGCAAGAAGATCGTCGTCAATGAGGGGTTCGGTCGTTGTTGAACTAACCGTGACATATGGTGACGTAACGGCCAAGTATTTCGGATAAACGATGTTAGACAAATGAGGCGAGAATGCCATTATGGCGGCCTCCAAATCATTAGGTTCATTAATAATCTCATCTACTAACATGTCGTTCGGTGTCCAAGAATAAATCGGTTGCCTTTCCTCGTATATGGACATGTCATTGCGATGCGATCTTTCGTAAGGATATGTTTTCAGGTGCAACAGGTTGCCACCTATCGTGCTCTGTTCGTTCTGATATTTCCTCGCGTTTACTTCGCGATGAGAATCCTGTTGGTTTCTTCCGTGAGCTACGCTCACCGGACGAGTTTCTAGGTCGAGAACTTGTCCAACGTATGTTAGTAGCCAGAATATGCAGAACGTCATCTTACGTGACTCGATAATGGCCGATTCCTTTCCTCCCTATCGTCGTTATAACCTCACTTCCTTTCTTTCTTTCTTCCTTTCTTCCTTACTTACTTGCTTGCTCTTTTACGACCGTATTATACGGATTGACGGAAAGAGATCTTCAACGTATCCTATCTAATGCGAGGGGGGATTACGCTCTTGATAAAAAAACGAACCCTTCTCTTACTAACTCTCACTCTTTCTTTCTCTATTTATCTCTATCTATTTCTATCTATCTCTTCTATCTAACTATCTTTCTGTTCTTTTATTTTATCTTCTTCTTCTTTTTTTTTTCTCTCTCCAGTCTACAAGAGGGAATCGGTGTACCGAACGTGGATTAGGCCGACTTTTCCTTTCAGTCAAGATACACACTGAGGGATCCGATTCTTATTTTCCTTTTTACTTTTCTTTCTTTCTTTTTTTTTTTTTTTTATTCAGGATCCAGTATCAGAATAAAATACGAAGGGTGGTACTTTTTTTATTTGAGAGAAAGAGAAAGAGATAGCGAAAGATTGTTGAACGCCGGCGAATCGATTAGATTTCGATAGCGTAGAATCTCGATGATGTTTTTTACTTTCACAAAACGTTGAAATTTGTCTCTGTCTCGTTTTCTTTCGTTGCTAACAGTTTTTCCTCTTCTTTTTTTTGTTTCCCCTGTTTTTTTTTCTTTTCCTTTTTTATTCTCTTTTAATCTACCCCTCTCTCTCTCTCTTTCTCTCTTTCTCTCGAATATATAGCCCCGTTTCCCTATGGCCTTTCACTATAGACACTCTCTAGATGTACGATTTCAATTACCGTAGTATTTGTCTCTCGTTTATTTTCTTTATTTCTTTTTCTTTCCTCTCGTAGATAATTGTAACTAGCTTAGACTCCTCTAAATCGAATAGGCACGTATAGTATGTAGTAGTAGTAGTAGTTGTTGTTGTAGATGTAGTAGAAGAAGTAGTAGAAGTAGTAGTAGTAGTAGTAGTACGGGCTAGTTTCAAGGGGGTACGGTAGTAGTCGAGTGGTAGCACGTTTTTTTTCCGTCTTCGCGGTTCGCCGGCTTCTTCCTGAAATCAGGTCGTTAATTGATAATAAAAGTTAGGTCAATGTTTTGCTATTTATTTATTTATTTATATATTTATTTAAATTAATTTCTTTCTTTCTGTACTTTTGTTCGTTCGTTCGTTCGTTCGTTCGTTCGTCTTTTTTTTTATTTATTTAATTAATTAATTAATTCTTTTGATATCTGTTTGTTTGTTTTTTTTTTTGTACGGATAGGTACATAATACACATACACATCGAAGTGCCGTGAATGGTGGAAGACTGATGATGCAAGTGGTGCAGTCGTCGTGCTTACGTGCGTGCAGTGGTTGGTTGGTGCACGGGAATGGTGCAAAGACATAAAAATACAGTGAAAATTGTTTTTTTATACAATTAATAGAATATTATTCAAATGTATTTTACTAACAATTTGACAAAATTATTATTACGTTTAATCCGTGATCGAAGTACGATCGTAATTAATATTTTTCTTAAAATATTCTTTCTTTTTTTTTTTTTATATTTTTCCTTCTTCATTTTCATTCTTTTACTTTTTTTCTCTCTCTTTCTCTTTCTCTCTTTCTCTCTGGATCCATTTAAATATATTTCAACCCCTTATTATTATTATTATTATTATATTTTTTTGTGTGTGTACGCTTGTCTCGTTTGTGAATTTTCTTTCATGCGTTTATATCACGTCACCTCTCGTTTTTTTTTTATTTTATTCTTAAGGACGAGAGACTATTCCCTTTTTTTCTTCCTTTCTTCCTTTCTCTTTCTCTTTTCAACGTTTTCACGGTTCTTTTTATTACGATCACGGAAAACGTGAATTAACATCGAGTTTTTATGCAAACGACGAGGAACGAAACTAGAGCTTCGTCTAACGTGGTTGGACTGTGGTGCGAAACGTGCGTGCGTATATATATATATATATATTATTACGTGCGTGAGATAGTATATGTGCGTCTGGGTTTTTTTCTGCTCGAACGTTTTTATTACTGGTTGGTGCATTAGAAGGGATGACGACGACGACGTAGAAGAAGAAGAAGAAGAAGAAGAAGTAGAAGAAGAAAGCTTAGCGTCAAAGATACTTCAGGAATAAAAATAAAATAAAATAAAAATACAATAAAATAGTATGAACCAAAAGAAATAAATAAAATATATTCGTATATGTATGTGTATGTGTGTGTGTGTGCTTACGTGCTTAAAGCTCCTGACTATATTAGAACGCGTTATCCTACTGCATTTACCGACTATAAGAGCACTTTATAACGTTAACGATCGAGTATCTCTCTCTCTCTCTCTCTCTTTCTATTTCTCTTTCTCTTTTTCTCTTTTTCTCGCGCGTGCGAATATCGCGATATCAACAGGCACGTATGTATCTCGATGGGGGATAATAAAATTTTGATGCGCGAACAAGAGGGTAGAAGAAGGAGAAAGGAAAGGGAAGTATCCTCGTAAAAAGGACGACCTTGTATATCGGCTAAACGCTATCTCTCTCTCTCTCTCTCTCTCTCTCACTCTGTCTTTTTTTCTTTTTTTTCCCTTTCATCTCTCTCGAGTACGAGTACGAGGCCACCCCCTTTATGGCGGCCTCGGATAATACTGACTATGACTACTTTCGTCGATGGGCGTTTACGTTGTTGCAAAATGACAATTTGAAAACATTTAAACTATGAACTTTTGTTAGGATTCATTTTTAATACAAATTATCATCGAATTATATGACGAGACTACGATATTATATATTCCAACGAAAGATAAGTTGAAAGTTACTTATATAGCATGGCGAGAGGTATCAACAGGTGTTCCGAAAAATATACAAAAACGGACTCTTTTCCAACTAAGTAGGACACCGATAGCCATTAAGAAGAAGAACTCCTTTCAAAAAGAACTCTTTTAATGTTTCTTGCACTTTTTTTTTTTTTTTCGTCTCTTCTTTTATCTTTCAATTCACTTTTGTCTCTCATATCTTTTTTCTTTTTGTTTCTATCATATTATATAGATTAATTTCATTATACACGAATAAATTTGAAGAAAAATTATTAGAGATATGATTGTACGTGTAAAATATTTAACAGGTAAAACTCGTGCACGAAAATGCGTGTTGCTCAGGTGCTGCTGCTGCTGCTGCTGCTGTTGCTGTTGCTGCTGACATTTTTTCTTTCTATTATTTTTCGTTAAAAAAAAAAAAAACTTTCAAACTTTCTATCAATTTTCTTCATTTTTTTTTAGATACTTGCTTCTATGATTTGTGAAGTTATTCGAAAAATAAAAACTCGATTTCTGTTCTTCCTTGACAAGGATGATCACGCGTGTTCTCTCTCTTTCTCTCTCACTTTTTATATTTATGTTCGTCCTCTTCTTTTATCTATGTTTGACTGTCCGAACTCTCTTTGGCCTTCCCATATATATCTCGAAGAAGAGCTCTAGTGATTTTTTTCTTCCCCCTNCTTCCCCCTCCCCCAACCCCCACCCCAAACCCCTCCCTCTCTACTCCTCCTCCTCCACCCCTCCTCCTTCTACACCAACTCTTTTTCTTTCTTCTCCTTTTTTTTTTTTTTCTTGTAGATAGTCTAGTGTTCTCTTTCTCTTACTACTTCAGCAGCTTTTCTGTTTCACCCTTCACGTACACACACTGTCGGCGTAATTCAGGTTCACCGGTGGTCGAAGTGGCCGGGGACAAAAGGGTTTAGGTGAACATAGTATGTGTGAGAGAGAGAGAGATAGGATGGGGGATGGGATGGGGGTGTGGGTGATGGGGTCTCGAATAGAGGAATCGATTTCAATTTAACGCTTTTCAATGCAACGTGGTGTATTTTCGATGGTGTCGAATTACGAAACGAGATATGAAATGGAAAGATTAAAAGAGAGAGAAAGGGTTTTTTTTTTGTTTTTGTACGATACGCGTTCCTTATTCTTTTTTTCCCTTATTTGAAAAGATAAAACGCGCGTAAAGTAAGATAATAATAATAATAAAGATATAATGTGCAAATTTAATTGGAATGATTTAAACGCGCGCGCAACACTGTTATCCTAGTAATAAAAATTGCACTTAAATTTAGGAAGGATTTTTTGTATTGTTCACTAAAAGTTACTCATGACCATTTAACAGTGGAGTAGCAACACCATTCTCATGATGAACCGTATGGTCGGTTCAGCTCTAGGATGAGCTGAGCTCGAGGATGCCAACTTTGGTGCCGGCACTTTGGTGCCGTTGTTGCGTTGTTGTTGTTTTGTTGTTGTTGTTAGATCAGTCGTTTAACTTCTTTTGATGCTGATTGTCAGCAGATGATTTCATAACAACACCATAAAACCGCGATAGTTAACGAGAAACGAGTGGTTTCGTTTTAAAAGTGCGGTGGTGATAACGGAGCCAGCGTATGCGAATTGTGTGAAGAGGAAGAAAAAAGGTGATGGTAAAAGAAGAGAATAACAAAGAGAGGATAAGAATAAGAATAATAAGAAGTAAAGATAAAAGAACGATAAGAATAAGGGTGGCACAGACGCAAACGTCTTCGACGAGGATGATTCGTGCGTGGGTGGTCGTACGCGTACCGCCTTCATACGGAGTGCTCGGAGTCTCTACCGGCGGCAAGGGGTTTCAGCCGCAATGACGATCCATCCGTGTAAGGCGTTCTTGCGGTTGATCTTGGCAGCGTCAGCGTCGGCGTCGGCGTCGGCAAAAGTGGTGGTGGTGGTGGTGGTGATGGTGGTGGTGTGGCGGTGTTGGTGGCGGTGGTGGCGGCGTCAACAACGACAGCGGTGACTACGGCGACGGCAACGGCAACGGTAACGGTAACGGTAACGGTGACGATGACGGTGGTGGTGCTGGCGATAGGGGTTGATCAAGGGTGGGGATGTAGCGGCGAGGGCTGCTCGGTGACGTGATCTTTCGCGGTGCGTGCGTCCGTTCGTGCAGAGGCGCGCGTGTTACGACATCATAGTCCTTTTTCTCTTCCCTCCTTCTCTCTCTCTCTCTCTTTCTCTCTTATCTTTCTTTTCTACAGGTTTGACTTTATCAGCCTTTTCAAGGAGTAGTTGTTATTCGTTGTTATCCGAGAAACCGGAAGCAGAACGATTAATCTCGCATAGCTCGGACTGTCTGGTTCTCTTCTGTTGGTGTTGTTGCTGCTGATGCTACCAGTCTGGTATTGCCATCGGTCTCTCTCCTCTTTTCCTTCCAACCAAATTGCTCACGACTAACTGTTTTTGTTGTTTCTTTTCTTCCTTCTACTATAACTGTTTCTCTTGGTACTGTTCGTCGTAGATTTTGCCGGACTCGTCGTTAGCCCACTACTGCTTCTTTGATTACTATTACTGTTGTTGCTGCTGCTACTGCTGCTGCTGGTGCTACTGCTACTTCTGCTGCTGCTGCTTCTGCGGATCAGTAGAATCAGCGAGAGGAGGTGGCGAGCGTGGAGGTTGCTTCGTCGTCTGCCGGTGGTTAGGAGATGGAGGATCGGAGGGTCGGGATGGTGGGTTAGTCGAGCGAGTGAGCTGGCTGGCGCCATCACCAGAACTAACTCCCACGCTGCGCGGTAAGAGTCAGCATTTTAATACGTCGCGCATCCCCCTACTCGACGTACTTTCTCCCACCCCTATTCTCGCCCTTTCTCAAACGATCCTTTCTCCTCGCGTTTGTACGCGATCTCCACCCTCCACTCTTTCCAACCACTACTATTACTATTACACATACACATACACACACACAAATACACACTACACCAACCCCACCACCGTCATTACCACCACCAGCCGAACGTCTTTCGCCGTGCGTCTTCTTGTGGATACTTAACTAAAGATCCTAAAGTTACATTTATAAAACTTAACACTCTGCTTTCGTATTAGGATCATCGTCCGCTAACCTTTTTTCTTTCCTTCCTCTTTCATTTACCCTTCTTTTTCTTTTACCCAACCCCTATTTCTTTCTTTCTTTCTCTCTCTCTCTCTCTCTCTCTCTCTCTCTCTCTATGTTTACTTTATTATCAAGATTCTTATTCTACGTTTTGCCTTTTCTCCTTCCTATTCCCATGCACATCTCCCTGTTCTTCCCTCGAGGTTACGTTTTTCCTTCTAACCAACCTGTGTTCCGAGGATGGGAAGGTGGGTGGGACAGGTGGTTTTTTTTTCAACGGTCGGTGCGCCGGTCTTTTCTCCTGTCCTCTCGGCCGTATATATCTTTTCACGATTCACAGGTTGTTGGGCGTGGTTATCAGGG